TATATATATATATATATATATATCACAGCACGAGGCCTGTGATAAAGCAACTCTCTAGGGGCTCGCCGACAGAACTCCCGTTCTCTGGAAGACCGGGGCCTTTTGTGTGCTGAGGTTGGTTAGGTGAATCACTTTGGCATCGCACTTCTTGCTGAACCACAGTTCCCCGAAGTGTTTCGACACGTTCCATGAGGGCGTCTGCGCGCAGCTCCGACTGCATTGTTTTCTGTGTCTGCCTCTGCACCTTCGTAGCCATTGCTGTGATGGATTTCCTAAGCTCTTTACACTGGGAGGAACGTTGCGGTGATGGTGAGATGCTGCGGCGACTCCCATTCAGGGCAGCTGCTCTCTCTCCTTGCTCTGCAGTAGCCACACGAATTGCCTCTTTTAAGGCGCTTCGTTCCTTCTGAAGAGCGCTTCGCTGCTCAAGGAGGCGCGCCATCGTTATTGGCCCATCTGCACCGATACCATCAGTAGTCAATCGGGAGAGATCCTGCGGGAGGCGGGCACGCACCATGCGCTCCTTAGCCTGTTTTGCCAACAGTTGCAACTCCTTGCTTTTCCTTTCCTCCTTGGTGACGGCTGACCGAAGCGCTCTAAAGGATCGCAGCTTTTCTCGCAGTGCGTAGTGTCGTGTCTTCAGAGACTCAATGGTATTACTCGTCTCATCAATCTGATCTTGCAAACACCGAAGTTCGCTTGCCATTAAGGCGCGTTTTTGCGTGATGTTTACTTCCATTGCACAGGCATTCTCCCACTCCAGGATGGATAGCTTCAAACTTGAATCCTCATCAGCAATTTCTCCACTGCTACACTCACGGCAAGAGGATCGGCTACTACTCTGCCCCTCCTCACTTCCAGTAGAGCGGGTGGTATCACCGCTGTCGCGAACACTGAGGTTCCCACGGCACCGCGTCGGACCGGCAGGGGTGCCATCCACCGCACCCGCCATCTCCGGTAGCACCAGTTTCTTCTTACTACACGGAAAGGACGCACGTGCGAGACTTTGAAAAAAATCGCTGCCTGCGCTGCGTGATGGAGGGGTGGGAGGTTTACATAGATGAAGCTCAGCTGCTGAGCCGCTTAAAGCGCTACACACCGGTGGGGTGACGATTGGAGGACGGCACACCGCTGTCTGTGCTCGCGTTAGTTTTGACACTTTTTGCAACGACTTCTCGGCACCAATACGCGGTGTATGTAGCACAGCGCGATTCCCAGTGGTTGAGCGTGTCCTCGCGGACGCTGTGCACCGCGATTGTGGCTTTGGTGGAGAAAAGTACGGTGAGTACTTCAGCAATGCGAGGCGACTCGACTCACACCGTCGCTGTGGGGAACAAGAGTGGAGACACACGCCACCTCCCGTCTCGTGGCGACTCCCACTTGAAGATGCAAGCGAGGGGCACCAGCCGTACAGTCGTGTCTGTCCCAGCGAGGCGGAATCCCCCGAGTCAAACCGCATCCCCTTACCCAGCGGTGTGCGGCCTCTGGGGATGGCGAGCAAGTCGAGCCGTTCCTCGTCGACGGACCACCCCGACAGGAGATCCTCCATGATGGCCCGCATTGCTGCCACAGCTCACCCGCAGAGGCAACTGAGAAGATGAAACTCCGGGTCTAATGCGGGAAGACAGAAGCACAGGGATAAGAAAAACAAAAAAAAAGAGAGAGGGAGAGAAAGCGCAGCAGAGTGCTTGGAAACCGGTCAGTCACCACAATTCCTCCTGAAATTTGCCACACGGCATGAGGGAATTTTCATCCGCAAACCATCTGCCCTTCGTGGGTTGTTTTTTTTTTGTTTTTGTTGGGGGGTTGTCTTGCTTCGGTTCTTCTTATATTCCATCGGAATCAAATGCACAAGCGCAATACTGAATGAGTGCGAAAAAGAGGGAGAAACATGGCCTTTATCTCCCCTTGGTTGTTTCGTCCCTCTTGCGCTTTGTTTTCCTTCGTCTTTACATGAATGCACAAGGAATGCGGTCCCACCCTAAGAATGCACGCCGTTCTCCTTTTCGGGGTCGCCAGTGCCGTTGCACGGCTCCGCATCCCCGCCGCGGTCCCCCGCAGACTTGACGAGGTTCCCCATCACGACGAGGCCCTCCGCCATCAGCCGTGAGCGAACACGGTTGAAGGCCTCCACAATGTAGCTGTTCTGGCTTCCAACGTGCGCAGTGAGAACCTTCATGCGCTGCACTTCACGTTCCAACGCATCGATTTCCGCCTTCACCCGCGCCGCGCGGGCACCCGGGGTGTGGCCCTCGTTCTCGCGCCCGTCCTCCTCCCCGCCTGCTTTCGGCATGGCCACTTTGGTCTGCATCACATCCTCGTAGATGGCTACCTCCTCCTCCAACAACCGCATCGCGCGTGGCATTTCCCGTCCTGCTGCAAGCTGATCTGAAAGGAAGTCAAGTTCACTGTGATACACCTCGTAACGGTACGCGACACGGATGTCGGAGACGCGACTCTTACGCGCATCATTCCCAAGTGTGGAGCGGAGGTTGTAGAGTTTCCCGAGGGCGTTCTCTTTCCACGCAGAAGGAAAGCCACTTTGAAGGACGCTGTTGCGTGCAATCTCAGAGAGGTCGTTGAACTCAAACTGCCACAGCTTTGCAGCGATCGAGTACTCCTCAATCAGCGGCTCACGAGTGAAGTGGAAGTAGAGCGGTTTGTTCGTCGCGAGACTGACATTGAGCCCACGACGGAAAAAAAGCGGAAACGGGTTCGACAAATACGCCGAGGCCCCTGCAGTGTTACTTAGCGGGGACATCGCCACACCCACCTGGGTGATGTAATACATGTACTCTAATACGGGATACTGACTCAACGTCACGCCATGATTGATGCCGTCAGCGAGGAGGAAGCCACCAATTAGGTGATCGACACCACCGAGCTCGCCGCACTGCGGGCGGAAGGTAAACGTGCCAAGGCCACGGGATGCACGGAACTCATTCAATGTTGCGATGTTCGCCCAATAGTAGTAAAGATAAAAGTTGTACGGCGGGTTGAGATCGCTGTCCCAGTCATGAGGGTATGTCCCGCGGAGTGGCATATCAATCTTCGACTCATCATCCACGCAGTCCATGCCAGACACATGTGTAAGGAAGTAGTGGAACTTCGTGTCCTTCGCAGGGTGCAGACTTATTTCCCACAGTGGTTGGAAAATGTTGTCCAAGTACTCGCCAAAGTTCCGTACAACTCCCTGTTGCCGAAGGCGGCGGTATTGTCGCGGCAGACTCACCATCCACCGATTCTGTGGGCTCGCCATGCCGTATCGATCGAACCAGTGTGCTAGCTTATACCACTCATTCTTGGAATTGCCTCTAATGACGAGACGATTCTCAGAAAAGCTGAAGGCATCCTCTTGGTACAATCCCAGTGTACGTTTGGTGAGTTCAGCGAAATAGCGTCCCTTCATGAAATTATCCACAGCTAGGAATGTATTTTGTATGTGCGGGTTCGCATTGATGAGATGGTTCAGTTCATCCACCGTAATACGTGAGGCATTGACCTTGTACCGCTCCAACAGTTGTCGCAACGTTACCGGTTGATTATCCTCTTCAAACACTACATCGTGGCCATGATGAAGAGCCTTTTCAACAAAAAATTCTAGCAGTGTGCGGGCATTCATACCAGCCGCCGTCTGCACGTTGGTGTCCACCTTGTGCGCGGTAAAGAAGTCACGGTTATTCCACTCCTTCTCCTCCTTCTCACCAGCCTCCTTGGATATGCTCAACGAGAGATGTAGTAGGAATTTACGCTCAAGGAGTTTGAGCTGCTGTACCACCAAATTCCGCAAGTTTCCGTGGCCCATGACCGCCTCTCGTACAGTCGTCACATCGCGAATGAATTCCCGTATGGGTGGAATGAAACTTGGCCACGGTGGTGATTTGCCTGTTCGAGAGATGAGGAACACGCCATAGTAGTTGTTGTACTCCCAGATGGACTCGTCAAAGTTGGAGTTGTTAAACACGTCCTCTACCTGCACATCCACATCCATTACACGAGAGGCTATGTACTTCTTGCGAAGAGAAATAACGTGGCGAAGGAGCTCCACCGCCTCCGTGGCGCGAGTCTGCTGCGTGCCGCCCACGATGTCAATACGCGGATAAGCAGTGCGCCAATCTGTGTAATTCATGCGACGCTTGTTACGGAAGCGATTCCCCCCTTCTGCCATTCTTTGACCCATGGTTGCGGCTGGTACCATGCACAAAGTGAGAGGCTGTTGCCCTTCCTTGGCCACTTGCGAAAGAATGAGGTTAAGCACTGTCTCTTCGTGCAGCAGACACTCGTGGTGAAACTCCAGACGGTAATCGCACACACCAGAACGCCGAATATCATTTCCCTGACTTCCAACTACCTGGAAGTTATCACCCAACCATTTCCGCTTCATTTCAATTGGAAAGTTGCTGTTCAGAACACTGTTGCGCGCAAGCTCGCAGACGTCCATTGGGGCGAGAGAGTGCAGCTTCATCAGTGTTGCGTACTCCTCCAAAAGCGGGTTGGAGGAGTGGTGGAAGTACATTGGATCCGAGGTTGTTATCGATACCAACAGCCCTTGAGCAAAGTAGCGCATAATAGGATGATCAAAGTACGGCATTGAAAGAGCATTGTCACGCAGCGGCGACAGCACCACCCCAATGCGGCAGTACATAAACAGATACTGCATGATCCAGCTCTTCTCCAGCGAGCTGGCGTGGTACACTACGTCTCCTAGCAGGAAACTTGAGACCAACTGGTCGTACGCCGGTGCCGCCTCAAAGACGGAGGGGCAGAAGTTGAGTGTATTGAGACCATAACGCACCCGGAGGGCGTTGAGCGTGGCGAGATTTGCCCAAACGTAATAGAAGAAGTAGTAATCGCTTACGCCGTCCTCGTACTTGATTTGGTCAGGATCCACCACGTCAGAAATCAAGTTTTGTGTGCGGGTGGCACGCTCAGTAAGAATGCTAATCGCACCCGTCTTGCGCAGCAGCGCTGCCACGTCAGCCCACGCTGGGTCTGCTGAGTGGAGTGTGGCCATCATCATCGGGTAGAAGATGTTCTGCAGCTGCTCGCCAATGGTGGCGCATGTCACAGGCTGCTCGTTCGGCCCCCGCAACGGGGCGGAGCGGGGAATGCTCAGCGTCCACATGTTTAGCGTGAAGGAGTTGAAACCTTGGCGCCGCACCCAGGCCGCGAGCCGCTGCAGCTCCTCCGCGTTCTGGCCGTAGAGCGGCAGCTGCAGTTCTGTCGCGACCACCTGCCGGTCCCTAAATTCGCGCTTCTCCAACTCTGGGCGGATAAGGGCGCCGAAGAGATCGCCCTCCTTAGGCGCATTCGTCGACAGCACTCCCTGGAGCAGGTCGGCACCAAACTTCCCGGCGGGGTTAACATTCACGTCGAGGACGTTATACTGCTGAAACTTGTTGCGGTAGTGCGGCGGGTGCAGGCCGAGACCCTGCACCGTCATCTCACGTGGGTCTGTCACGCCGTGGCTCTCGAGGAAGTCCAGCAGCTGCACCATCTTGCCATTCTTCTCCTGGAAGATGAGCGTGCGTGGCTGCTCAACTGCTGTTGTTGTGATGAACTCAAGAAGCGTCTGCGCGGTGATGCAGGTTTGGAGACGCAGCGCGTTATCGACGCGTGTGCACATCGCGTACACCCCACCCCCTCGCAGCTGCTTGTCAAAGTTCGTCTCCGTCTCAGCGTTCAGCAGAGAGTAGAGCTGCGACTTCTCTGCCAATGTGGTGAGTCGCGTTCTCGCGGTGGAGAGGCACGGGCCGGACTCAATGGCGCCGAACACCGCCTTGACGTCCCGCACGTACGTCTCCCAGGGCACAATCTTTGTCTTCATCCCCTTAAAGCGGCACACTCCACGCTCAAACGTAAGCCCGTGTCCCTCAACGGGTTGTGCGAACACTGCGAGCGTGTCGAGCTCCTCCGCGCCGTAGCGGCTCTCTACATCGCCCTTGTCGCAGTTTTTGTACGCCTGTCGCGCGCGAATGACGTTGGCGATGAGCTCCACACACTTGGCAAAGTCTCTATCGCCATCGTCGCCGTCAATGACGACGCGGTGATAGTTCTTGCATGTCGCGTTGGTGTCAGTGTTACTGTTGTTGTTGTTGTTGCCGCAGCTGCCGCCATTGGCAGCGGCGGTGAAAGCGGAAGGACCGTGACTGCGGGAGCTCATGCGGGCGCGGAAGAGTTGCTGAGCGATGATGTCGTTTCCGCCGACTTCTTCCACAGGCGGCGGGCACAAGCGGCCGCTTGCCGTTCGGGCGAAGTTCGTCACACCATCGCTCATGGCAGTGGCGATAGACGACGCGTGCTGCTCGAAGACAATCAAGTGAAACACAAAGAGAAAGAAGCAATACCAGCAACAACAACAACAACAACAAAAAGACAAACCGTTGAAGAGGAGGAGGAGGAGGAGGAGAAGGGCACATGGCCCCTTCGCTCCGTGCAAGGCGAGGTGAAACAGGGTCACACTTGTATTTGAAATGGCACAGGAGAATGAGGGAGAAGCAGTTGGGAATTTTTTTTGCTTAAAAAGCGACAGCAGCTACTGCGCCTTCCTCGCCCCATCCGCCAACTGTTGCGTGCGTCTACGCTGCTCCCGTCGCGCAGCGATGGAGAGTCGCACAGAAATAATACCCATGCCGAACACGGGTAGCAGAATGGACGTGTGCACCACGAGCGCGTGGTCCCACGGAATGTACAGCTGCGGCAACAGCAGCGGGTGGTACTGGAGGTCGTCGGCGGCGCGCGCGAGCTGCGAGAACTTCCCCGCGCGGATAAGCGACAGCAGACGCTGCACCGTCCCGCTCACGTCCTCTGGCGCCGGCATGTCTGGGTGGGTGCTGACGGACTGCTGAAGCTGCCGCAGTGCACGCAATGCATAGTGGCAGCCGCTCACATCCCGCGCCACAGCCCAGCGCCGCAGCGTCACGGCGTCGCGGAAGTTGTCAACACCCAACCAGCCTGCCATCAGCGTCGCAACAGCGGCCGGCACCTCGCGCTGCAGCCACTCCGCCGACGCGTTAGCGNCCAACCCCCAACCAGCCTGCCATCAGCGTCGCAACAGCGGCCGGCACCTCGCGCTGCAGCCACTCCGCCGACGCGTTAGCGTTAACGGTGCAGTACGCCTGTCGTGTCTCGAAGAGGAAGCACCGCAGCCCGGCTGCTTCGGCGCTGCTAGCAGACGACGTGTCGCGGAAGAAGCTGATGCCATGCATCCGCAGCTCCTCGCGCAGGTCCACTGCGTACACATGCTTGGCAACGCCCAGGCCAAGCTGCTGCTTTGCCGCAACAAGAGCGAACGCAGCGTGGTCACCGGAACTAATTCTCACGCGCCGCCACGAGGCGTTGGTGGTCACCCGCACTATGCGCTGAATGTAGCGCCTGTTGGTGGCATCAGCAACAACTGCGCGGCCAACGGCGGCCTCGATGCGGTCCAGCGCGTCGTGCACCGGCAGCGCCCACGCCTGCTGCTCCACCCACACCGCTACGCCGAACTGCGTCGGCACGGGGTGGCTCGGCGGTGCACTGGCGGCGGCGGCGGCGTCAAAGGTGTCGCCCAAAGCGTGGCACTTCGTCTCCATCGTGTGTATCAACTCCGGCAGCGCGAGGTCGGTGCGGTCCTCCGAGAGCGCCGTGTAGTGGACGCCGAGTGTTGCGAGAAGGATCGCCACGCACGCCAGCGTCCATGGGGCATCGACGCGCAGGCGCCAGTTCTCCTCACTTCTCATGTGCGCCTTGTCGTCCCCCTCCTCCTCTAACTGATGCTGTCCCCGCCTCAATTTGCTCTTGCTTTTGGGGCTGCTATTATGCCTTGAGCCAACCGCACACCCCCTTCCTCCTTTCTTCCTTTCGTTTGGCTCGTGATCTTTGTTCTTTACCCTTACTCCTTGGATACCGCTAAATGCGGGCACACGATAGAGGTGGAAGAGAAGCGGCAAGTCATTCGCACATTTTTGTGTGCGTGCCGCCACGTGCAGCGCTGTTGTTTGTGCCAACGTGTGGTTTCGCTCCCCTGTCGTGGTGGGAAGGTATTCGTGGTGGCTGTCGATAGCGAGAGGGAGAGAGATAGGGAGGAAGTGGTGCGCGTGCATATGCGCACAATACGTGAGAGTGGGGAGAAAAGAGATGAGACATCCTCGCTGCCGTCCCGAATCATAACAGCGCCAGTAGAGCGGGGGAGAGAGGAGGGGGGAGGGGCGAGCTGGAAACAATAACAGCGACACACGTACAGAGAAACTCATACAGGCACGCACATGCAATTTTCTTCCCATGGGAATACCATCATTGAAATAAATAGACAATCACAATTATTTTTTGTTTTTTTTTGTAAAAAAAAAAAAAAACGATACAGAGGGGCGAAATAACACTCGCTTCTTCCCTCTTCCTGCTGTTGTTGCTGCCGCTGCTGCTCCCCTCCCCCCCTTGGAGAGTGCGCACGTGTGTATGCTCTCCGGGAGGGGCAGAGTGGAAGGATCCCACACGCACACACCGACACACACGTCGCACCAGGGGCGACCAGCAGCTGCCCCACTGCAGCACTCAAAAAGAGAGAAAGGGGGAGGGGGGAAGCAGATAGAAGCGGCAGCGCAGCACACCGGCAGAGAGAGAAAAAAAAGGGAACCCTGCAAAGGAGTGATTTATTCCTTTGTCCTCCCTTCCATCTTCACATTCACTTGCACCTTCGCACTGTCCTTTCTGGTCTTGTGTGCGTTGTGTGGTCCCTCAGGGCTCGGCACGCGCCTCCTCCACCGCGTGCGACCACGCGGAGAGGACGCCTTGAATCTCCGACGACAGCGCGGCGATGCAATCGCCACTCGACGCCCCTGAGTCAAACGTTTTTGGCACTTTGTTGAGGCTGCTGCTGCGGCTGCTGGCGCCGCGATTGCGTTGCGGAAGCAGTGGGGTCTGGCCTTGTGGTTGCCGCAGCTGCGAGACGCCTTGTGTGCTGGCGTCAGCATCAGCGCCGTCGGCTGTATGTGTGCGTGCGTCCCTCGGCGGTGCGTTCAACGTCGGCACGAAGGTAATCTGCCCGTATCCCTTCTGTACAGCTATCGCGTTGCTGTGGCGCGAGATGGCGGGGCGGAACGTGCACTCTACTGCCTCTTCCATCCACGTCTGGCGCCGCAGCGCGGCCAGGCGTTCCAGCCGCTCCAGTTCCTTGCGCTGCAGGCGCGAGCAGAAGATGTCGGTGTTGAACCGTGCGTTTTTCTTCCTGTTGGGCGACTCCACCGCTTCATCTACCGCAGGCGGCTTCCTGCTGCGTTCCGGGACCTCCCCCTTGGCGCGGGAGATTGCGCGCTTCATGATGATTCTGCTGCTCTGTGGGTTCGTCACCGGCCGGAACGGAAACACCTCCTCGCTGCCTGCTGCTGCAGCGGCGCGGAGCTCGCGGCGACGGCGGTACTCCGCGCTCATCGCGTACAGCTCGTCAAAGACGGTACTGGTGCGGCTGCTAAGGGTGGAGATGTTGCTGCAGGAGCAGCTGCTGACGGTGCTGTTATTGTTGCCGCCGAGCCTACTCCAGTACTCCGACTCATTCGTCACCGGATGGTACAGCTCCCGTGCCTCCTTCTCCAGCTGCGTCAGGAGCAACACGCGCTGCGCCGCCTCCCGCACGGTCGCCTCTTCGTAGAGCCGGTCAAACACCGCGTCGTCGCGGACAATGCCGGAGTGCACTGACGGCGTGTCAGCGTGCGCCCTCGGCTGGTTGGGTGCCGCTGCAACGTCTTGCTCCTGCAGTCGCTGCATGTACGCGCGAAACCGCGCCCGCCAGCCCTTGATCGGCCCCTTGTAGTTGCGCTCCTTCTCTAGGTGGGCGATAATGCGGAGGCTGTGCTTCCGCGGCATATCATCGAAGAGCGGCAGGATCTCATCGCTAAGCAGCTTCTCCTTCTTCTTCTCAAAGTGCATTGCGCTTGTCTTGCGGCGCTCCTCTTGGGTCGCAAGGAAATCCCCCCACGTCGCGTAGCGACCCAGCTCCTTTGCCGCGTCCGACAAGGCAGGCCGAAAGGTGCACTCCTCCGCCTCCTTTGCTGCTGCTTCTGCATCGGCGTTGTCCGTCACGCCGGGTGTCTCCACCTTTGCACGCCCGGCTCTCTTCTTTGCCTCGTCGTAGAGGCGGTCGAAGACGGCGAGTTCCGCGGCCTCGTCGTCACCCTCCTCGCCCTGCATAACGAGTGCGTAGTTGGACGTCTCCATCACTGTCACCTCGGGGTTGAAGCGCGGCTTGAGATCCGTGCTACGCTCACGTCCGCTCTTTCCTTTCATCGCCGAGGGCGGTGGCTCCTCAGCCCCCGTATCTCCCTCCCCTTCCTCACTGTATGCATTTTTATCAGTCGCGTCCTCTCTCTCCTTTCTCACTTCGTCTACTGCATCAGCTGCAGCTGGGGGTTCTTCCCCTCTCAGTTCCCCTTCCAGATGTTCCTGTTGTTGCGGGCCGTCCAGTGTTGCGTTATCGCCGACTTCAGATGTGAGGAATGCCGGCGGGCCCTGCGCCGTTGGCGAAGTCGATCCAAGCATAATCTATTCGTACTCCGGCGGTTGTTGTTGTTGTTGTTGTTGTTGTTTTCCTGTTCTACGGCACTTGTGTGTGCTCGTGGTGGAAGGCGCAACTCCCTGCACCACTGCAGAACGATACAAATATATATATAACTCACTGGCTAGGGAGGCGGATGGGCAGAAGAGACCGCCCGCCAGACAAACCACTCAGAGAAGGCAGAGAAAAAAAAAAGGCGAAAAGAATTCACCACCATTATATGTTTCTCAAGCAGCGTACAAGGAGAGAAGAAAGCACATTCACAGCCAGATGTGGGCCTCATTGAATGAGTTTCCTTTTTTCTTTCACTGTTTTTTGTGTGTGTGTGTGTGCACTTCCATTATGTTGACACATCCTGTTCCACTTTCGAACCTCTGTTTTTTTTTTTTAATCGTCTCACTTCGCATAGGGCATGGAGCGCAGCGGCCTCTTCACTGTGTGGCGCAGCTTCAGCGGTGCTCGCCCAGGCGCCTCTGCGTCAGATCCCGCGCTTCTGGCCGTAGTGGTGGACGGCGGCGCGCCATTCCCGGCTGCTTCTGCTGCGGGGTGCCAGAAAGCGACGATGTTGTCCTCGCCGCCGGTGATGAGGCGGTCTTCGCCGAGGCCGACGGCGATGCGGCAGACCTCCGCGTGCACCGGCGGCAGCGGTGTG